GCTCAAAAATATGAAGTGGAAAAATTCCAGGAATGAACAATTCATAACTTCTACTAACTTGTTCTATAGTTGTTCAATTTTATTAGTCACTGTGAATCATCTTACTATGCCCAGACTGCACATTAATTATGATAAACTTTATCATAAATACATATGAAAGCATAGTACGCTTCCAGTACTATTTATTTATATCTTCGGGTACTGCAGGTGTCAGAAAATATTTCCCACTGATAAGGGAGAATAATTATACTTTATTTCTAACAACATCGTGTCAGTATTTTCTAGACTACTTTTAACTTTCAGGATAGCAGGAAGAATCACCCTTCTTTGATGCCTTACCCCAACCCTTAAGGTAACTTTTCTCAATAAGATCGTACATTTCACAATTACTTTGTAAATACTTAAAGCACTCAAGTGATTACAAAAAGTCTTGATTTTTACTGCCTCTGGCAAGATTAGGCGCTTCCCTCTCACTGAAGAATCCCTCTTGGGTACAATTCTTTTCTCTGAATTCTTGGTACCTTCATATGCGCTATCCATGGTAGTTCCTCTAGAGGCATAGAGGAAGTGTATTAGCCCTCACTGCTTCTCTGTGAAGGCTTATGTTATGGAGGCCCCTGCCCCTTTTGATTTTCTTTTGAGCTTACATTTATAGATGACAACCTCACATTACTCATGATGTTCTTATTTCATTCCATATGAAATTTCACAATGAACTCAAATAAAGGACACAAAAAGGTTTGCTAAAGATGTCCTATGTACATTATATATATATATATGTATGTATATATACATATAGTAATTTATTTTAAAATGTCATTGATCATATACAGTTCTTTAGCTTTTCCCAGGGGACATTGCACCTCAGTTTCAAAACACACAAAATAAATCCCCTTTATTAAACAGTTTTGATTTTGGGGTGACAAAAGTCAGTACTTCACAACGACAAAGCATAAAGGTACATGGTTCTGAAACCCTTTCAGCAGAATGCTCTCAATTCACTGTATGCAGGGTAGCTCCGGAAACGCGGACCACGACGAATATATTCCTCACAAATGATCCTAACTGTGGGCCTCCTTGGATCTCCAAAGGAACGAAGGAGTTTGGAGGCTAAACAGGAATGGAAGAATAGCCTCAGGACTCCCGAACACCCAAACCAACATGAAGTACTCGTAGGAGATGACAAGAGTGGAAGACGCGAAGTTTCGTCCTCAGGTGCAAACACCACAGTGAGAAACAAAGCACACTTACAGCCTTATTTGGTCACCGTCTACCTGGTTGCTACATGAACAAAACTGCACCCGAGACAGAGAAACATTAAAGCTATTTACACAAATGACATTATTGACCAGAAAGAGCACTTTTTCCTCCTCAAGCGGGCACTCGCATCTGCTGAAGAGCCCTGGGGCTCCCCTCACGGGCAAGCCAGTCTGCTGCTGTAGTGGCCTTTGAAAACCCCAGTGTACACACAGGCTGCATCACCACACAGAACCAAAGTTTGCCCAGAGAGGTGGGGCTGTGCTGTGCTGTGCCGTGTAGGAGGCTCCAGGCCTCTGCTCTTGTACATCATCAAAATCCAAGTTCTTCGTGTAAGATTCTGTCCCATGGCCAGAGACTATTATACTATGTTCTTCAATCTGGTAACTTTTAGGTCAGTCTGGTTGTACTTTGCATAGACAACGGATTTCACTGCCTTCCCCATCTGCTCCAGCAGCACTAACCTACCGAAGCGAGAATTAAGCTTAAATCCTCTGTAAGGGGGGAATCTCTTCAGGGAAGCTTAGATCCTCAGACTGGTGGGAAGAAAACCACTGGTCACTTATGGCCTTGTGGTTATGGTGGATAAGCAGATGAGGAAGGAGGTGGGGACTGAGGCAAGGAAGGGGACAGAAGAGGAAAATCCAATCTAAAGATGTGGGAGACTTCCTAAGTGATTCCACACTAGGGTTTTTGGTACAAGTCTTGTCCAAATGGCCAGAGTGTGGGGCTAAATCTGGGTCCTGGGATACTCTTGTTCACCAACACTGACTTATGGCTATAAATCCTCTCCTCAAAATAAATACTTAAGAGAAAGGTAAGAGAGTGGGCACAGCTGACTTCACGTAGCCCCCCAGAGGTAAGCTGCTAAGAATTTAAAAAATGAACACTCTGGATCCTGCAAAGCTGAATACTGTTGAAAAGAATAGGAATGCTTACCTTTAGGCTCCTGTGAGACAGGTGAGTGCCTGTCCTAGCCAGTCTCATCTCTTCCTTTGTGCCTCAGGAGCAGACATTTCTGGCTCTGTTCTGACTCTGTTACAAGATGAAGCTTCAAGAGGTCCTCCAGCAAGAGGCTGCCAAGCACGGCTTCACGGCGAGCTCACGCTAAGCAAGAGTGCTCACAACCACTCTGAAGAGCAGGGGTCATCCCCGCAGAGAGATTTAGAGCAGGAAGAGCCTTTCATTAAAGGAAGTGGCCACTCAACCCCCAGCACAACCAGGAAGATTTAACTAGGAAATCAAACACTTTTCATTACACAGAATTTCCTCTGAGGCTATCAGGACAAGCAGATTTGGCTATAAGTCAGATACACAAGATTTCAGAACCATATATACATATGTCCTACAGGATTCTAAGTGATTTTTTTTTTTAAACCTTTCCAAGAATGCTACAAAGACCAACCCATTATGTAGACAGTTATTGTATTGGGATGGAGTAACTTGGGACCTGGGTGAAAAATAAGGCCCAATGGAGTAAGCTCAATTCACAGAGCAGTATCAGTGCTGGGCAACCGGGCCATCGGCACGAACAAATTACTGTTTTGGTTTTTGATTTATTCATCTCATTGATAGTCTTCTTTCTATCCCCCAAATGCAAACATGGCGTTAGATGGCTATTACAATCTTTCCACCCAAGTAGGCTTAAGAAAAGAATTCCTAGATACCTCTGTTACTAAAAGCAGTGGGACTAACTGCTCAAGGTTTTAGGACTATTTGAATGAGAGGTTTCCGAAGTTTTTCCTGAGACATACCTTGACTGTAAAAAGATGGTGAACTGAGTAAAAAGTGGTCAGAACATCTACCCTGAAATTACGACTCAGTGTAAATAAGACTAGAGAAGCTCAAGGTAAGGCCCAGAGAAAGAGAGGTCCAGAAAAGAAAGAAAGAAAAAAAAAAAAAAGGAAGAAGAGGAGGAACAGATTTTGTTGAGGGTGGGTATTACTGGAAATCAAACTCAGGACCTTGCACTTACCAGGCAGGTTCTGTACTGCTGAGCTACATCTCCAGCCCAAAGGGCAGCGATGGGAAAGATTACAAAGAAGGTATCATAAGGGTCTACAGAAGGCTTTCTCAGCTGTCCGACATCTATGTGACTCTGCCAGTCACTGCAGGAGCAGAGAGCAGACCACTTAGCTGTACAATGCCTGAGAGTGTTCCCATGGCACCATATTCTGCCAGGGAAGAAAATGGTCTAGCCCACACTGCTCCTGACAGAGATGGCTGGGGTGGCTCAGGTTTCCTGGAAGAGGAGGGAATGCTACCTGGTGAAGTGGACTCATGACAAGGTAATACCCAGCAGCCTCTTGGCAAACACTTGATGGAGAAAATTCCCACAGCATATTACCTGCCAGACAGGGCATTGATTTCACACTGTGTAATAAATTAATGCCTGAGCAGGACACCTCCAGACCTGTCCTACAAAGGTATCGACAACTCTGGGAATGCAGGTGGAAGAAAGGTTCTTATCTTCTACACAAGGAGGAGGATTGGATCTCAAGCACTTTGGACGAGTCATGAATGTCCTCTATCTATATTTGGGGGAGTGTTTGAATTATACAAAGTTGTCAGCATGGTGACGAGGCCCCAGAAGGTGTGTAGGGAGAGGACCGGGTATTTCAATTGTGGTTCCCCAAGTTCCTCCAGCACCCAGCAGCAGTCTGCCTAAGTTGATCCAAGTGATTTTCTCTTGGCCATTTCTCCTGGGCGAGAAGTAGTGGGTGTTCATGGTGGCAGGGTGTCTGCTACTGCTGCACTTGTGAGGCACACAGAGTCTCTATTTTTAGGGAGCTACAGAATGATTCTCTGGAAAAGAAGCAGAGAGGACAGTGCAAGGACTCACCTTCACATCTGCTGTTGTTCAAGTGCCATCCTGAGTGGGCCTTTCTCAAAAACAGCTCAGAACTGCTGTGGTGCGACACAACTCTGATACTCATCCTTCACTTGTAGTGATCTGGAAGACTGTCACAGCTCAGGAAACCTGAATCTGAAACTGGCCTCAATTGAGGTACGGCACATCTACCAACACAAGAGGTTCCTGAACTGGTCCACTGAACGCTACTTCTATAGACCTTCATGACACAGCAGAAATGGAAATCCAGGGAGACCTCAAGCTACCCAAGGACACTGCTGAAGCTAACAGAGGAGCCAGCGGTCCAAAAGAACACACCTATTTTCAAGAAAACACACCCATTTGGTGAGAAAACACAACTCAAGAATCAGGGTTACACAACAAAGACACAGTCATGCAGGGCACTGCTCCAGATGGCTTCCTGGGTGGTGCAGGCCACCGGATCTGTGGACAACCCAGCCTGCATTAGACAGAAATTCCTCAGCCAGGAGCTGGAAAGTCCCAGTCCTGTTCCCTGGGAGAGAAACAAGAAAGATTCAAGGAATGTTGGAAAGAAAAAAATCCCTGCTTCCCCCTACCATCACCATAAAAAAAATGAAGAGAAACAGAAGGGAAAAGGTGGGGGAGAGAATGAGGAAGAAAGCAATCCCTGAAATAAAGCTCAAGCTCACTAGAAGGCAGGTTCTTATGCTCTGAAGCATGACCACCTCAACTTCCCAATGCAGCACTCTGAACCTGGAGAGAAAATGGCAGCATGACAGGCTGAGGGGTCTTCTACCAGTTATATCTAAAAACGGTTGTCCTAGCTGCTCTAGGTAAAATAAATATGATATATGTGCCCCGTATGCCCAGGGGCCTATAAAGAAACCCACAGACACACAGCGCTCAGTAACAGGCTTCCTATTTTGCTCTTGTTCAGTGTCCAGACCTGTGGCTGAAAAAAAAATGGAATCTTAGGGGTCACCTCGAAGCACAGCCAGAGGCTTCTGGACAGCAAACTCCCCCGGACTGAGAAGAAACTGCATCGTCTGCACTGAGCTGGGAGCCTCCCAGGTCTCCTCTGCCCAGAGACATCCCTGTTTTCCTCCCCTCCGTCCTTCCAGTCCCCTGGGTCACTTTCATGACAGTTTGTTTCCATGTATCAAAGGAATGACATAGACAGAAATGTCATCTCCTGAGCCCAGCCGGTCATTCGATATCCGCCATCCTCTGTCTTTTAGGACGCCGCGGGCTCGCATCACCAGGTCCTGAGCTGCTAGTGTGTACCTGTAAGGGCAGAGACAGGAATGAGACAGCGAAGCGTCAGACAGCCAGCGTCGGGAGAGGCTGGGAAGACGGGGGTCACTTGGCTTCCAGTTACCTTTAAAGTAAAAAGAGTCAAGGTCATCTTTTGCCCAGTGTGTGACACAAGATGTGAAACAGTATTTTAGGTTGTACATGGACAAGTCACTAACCACTTTCTTTTTTCAATTTGTTTGTTTTTTTATTTATTTTTGTCTTTTTGAGACAGGGTCTTGCCATGCAGCTCAGACTGGCCTTGAACACACTTTGTAGCCCAGGCTGTTCTTGAACTCACAACAATCTCCTGCCTCCGTACCCTGAGTTCTGGGATTACAGGCATGTGTCACCATGCCCAACTCACTAACCACTTTAAACAAACAAACAAGGGCTGGGGAGACGGCTCAGTGGAATAAGAGCTTCCCTGGCAAGCGCAAGGGCCTAAGTTCAATCCCCAGTTCCGCAAAAATTAAAAATTAAAAAAAAAAAAAAAAAAAGAAGGGCTGGTGAGATGGCTCAGTGGTCTAAAGTACCTACTTAGAACAAGCTTAGCAAAGCACAGGGACCGCGGTTCAATCCCCCAGCACCACATGCCAGCCAGCCCCGCCCCCTGGTGGGCTGAGCTGGCCACACACACACACACACACACACACACACACACACACAATAAAATTATTCCACTGATAGCTCTCTCCACCTCGGGGGCCTGAGCCCAGGGCTTGCTGCGTACTAAGCTACCACGTACTCTACCTCTGAGCCCCACCTGCCTTCTTTGGGTATTGTTTACTACACTGAGGAGAATCTCTCACTGTTACTACTGTACTTTTTTTTTTTTTGTGCCAGGTACTACTAAGGCTCCGAGTTCTCCATGGCAAATAGTCTCTAGGTAAAGCAGCACTTGGGACGAACAAGAACCACTGCCTTCAGTGTACTTTTAGGGCTCCAACCTGTTGTGACAAAGTACATCTGTTTTTGAAATAGCCCTTTTCCATTCATGGTAGGGATACATCTCTTTTTAAAATATGTTTTTTAAACAAATAATGTGATTTGAAGACAAATATATTAGATAACATATGTGAACTATAGCAAGAATGTGAAGGGCTTTGTTTTGGTGAATGACTGATAAGCCTTCCAGTGGATGAGTTGTTCCACTTATCCTAATGAATAGCATGGTTTCTTCTAGATCCCTATAAGAGAAATGAATCTGAAAATAAGGTTGCCTGTTGAGATTTAAACTAAAAGTGATTAAAGTTTCACCATTTAGAGGAAGTTCTAACATGACAGAGGGCTGGAGAGGTGTGAGCCTTAGACTTTAGGTCATACACGATGAAAAGAAATGGTGGCCGATGTCTATTCAACTACTGACCAGGGCAGTGAGATTCTTCAGTGATACACTTCAAAGAAAAACAGTTCCCCCGGCAGGGTGAGACTTGGTGTGGATGGACTACCCTCGTAGCTCTGCCAGGAAATGTATGAATCACCTTTCTTCTGGTTTCCTGTTCACCAATAACCTGCTTTGATCTGCTTTCCTGTGTAGACTTGCCTACAGGGAAAGGGTAAGCCAGTCATTTGATTTTAAGGATATTATTTATATTTCTCTGTATAAATATCAACTGACAGTTTGGTTTATAGATCAATCTTGTCAGTTTAGTTAAGATAAGCCCAGGTCTTGTGATGAATCCATTCTTTGTATCCTGATTAAATCAGGTGCTAAACCTGAAAAGCTAAGAGCCAGGTTCTAGTTAATCATCAAGAAAATAAACATCTCCCTAGATGGCCTCTTGGGAGGCAGCCTGCGTCTTTCATAAGGGATCACCCTGACAATGCTAGTGACCCTTCCCCACTTGCCTTTGGAAGCCTGTTTTTTCCTTAAAATCCTTTAAGAATTTACACATGCTTAACTTAAGGGACTTGCTTTAAGTGGAAAGTGAACTTAAGATTGTGCAAGTTCTAAGTTGTACAGTGTTAAGAGGATAAAATCTACTCTTACAGCCTAGGTAGCTGACAGAGTGCAGCAAATATGACAGAGCAGAGGACGACAGCCCCAACACAGAATGAATGCCTTTCTCCCGGAGGACTGGGCAGAAGAGACATTTCGCTATCTGTACTGAGGGAATTATTGGCTTTAAGGCAGAGATTTCTCAGCTGCACTTGAGGGATGGTATAGCCAGTCATTCCTAACTGTTCTCCTTTTGAGATCAGGAAACCCTCTGAAAAGTACCTAAAAAGGCCTCCGAGTGAACGGACAAATGTCTGTAAGTCTGCATACTGCAGCCCCTAGACTACATTCAGAACAGGGTCTCAGCTGTCCTCCCCAAGTTACTTGGTTTTATACTGAACCATCTATGCGAGCTACCATCACACAGGTAATGGCTACCAGCAGTACTGGGGGGGCGGGGCGGATTATGACTCTGGTGATTTTCAGGATCTGAAACCCGGCTAGTCAAGGAGCTGGTTCATCCATCAGGGCTGAGCATGCCTTTCTCCAGCTCATGAGCTGACCTGCTCTGGAGAAAACATGGACGGCAATGAAAGACATGTGAAGAGTCAAAAAAATAGATGCATAAGCTTCTGGAGGCTGTTTAGTCTGGGGTCACAGAGAAAGGGCTGAGAGCTAAACAGGTCAGGATATCAGATCTCACCGGGTGCATTCAAAGCATGAAAAAAGCCATCTCCCGTAGTGAAAGGCAATAAACCGCTCTGATTGTAAATACAGTATTCTGACAGTGGTCAAAACTTGTTTTGCTATTTTAAAAACCAAGTGTGGGTTACCTAGCAAAGATAGCAACCCAGGAAACTGGTTTCCCCCTGGGGCTTCTGGATTAAGTCATTATCCATAAATAAGGTTGTTATAGCCAGGTGTGGCTGCACATCTGTAATCCCAGAGCTCTGGGAGGCGGAAGCAGGATTACAAGTTTGAGCCACTTAGCCTGGGTAATTTAGCAGGACCTTGTTGCAAAATAAAAAAAGGGCTGGGGATGTGACTCAGTGTGAAGGCTCTGGCTTCAGTCCCACCCCCAAGTTTCTGAGTTGCTCATTCTGAGATAACTTTGTCTACTCAAGATTACTTTTCTTTACACTATCTTTTCTGTCTCCTTTAGGTGAACTTCTTGAGAAAGAAATCCACTCTTGCTTCCCCTGTTTCTTTCTTCCTTGCTCTTACTTCCTGTACCTTACTAATCTGGCCTCTCAAAGCTCAACCCCAAGGGGGCTTCCCAAAACTCATTCTGCCAAACCTTTTTCCAGCACAAGAGATGCTGACCACTTTCTGTATCCTGGAAATATTTTTTCTTTTTGAGGTTTTTTTCTTTTGGGGGATGTTGATAACCACTACACCATCCAACCTCTCCTTCTCTGTCTTGGTTTCCACAGCGCAGCATAAGCACTCTGCTTCCTAACATCCTTTGTTGCGCTAATTAAGATTTAGGAAGAACTCAGCGAATGTTCAGTTATTTTACTTCCCAGGTGTGACTTCCCCATCCATTACCCTGAGCTAATGGTGTTCTAGGCTCTGAAGCAAGGAATCATGGTCCCTTTTCATTCCACTTTTCTAACCTGACATTATTTAATTATAAATCCACAAGGCAGAGTAGAATTTCTAAACTTTCTAAAATTTATTTGTATTAGTAGCCCATGGCTAATTCAAATAAAATCTAATCTTATTAAGATGTGTTATGTGTTTATTGTAAAAATTGATATGTATGTATTTACTGTTATCATCACTCCTACACGCACACACATACACACACACTTTTCTGCTTTCTACTTAGTATTTTTTCCTTCATTGGTTGGGATTGAATTTAGGGCCTTATGCATTTAGGCAAGTTGTCTACCGCTGAGTTGTACCTTCCACTTCTTTATTTTTCTGTATTTTAGGGAAGGGTCTACAGGGTGTTCAGGATTTCACTACTAGATTGGACTCACAGTGATCCACCTGTTTACAGCCTCCCAAGAGTTGGGATTCCAGGCGCGTCACCACGCCCAGGGTCAGTTGCTGTCTCGGGGCACCCTGGGGGTGGGGCCGGCACTAAAGGTCCCTGTGATGATTTCTACTCCTGAGAAGAAACCTGTCTTTTATCATTCTATTATACTAAATATCTGTTCTCATTGGTATCTTTTCAGATTTTTATTGATGGTACACAGTTCCACCAAGACCTAACAATGAGGATTCTTTTTTATCCCTCATGGTTAAAAATTAGTTTTATTCCTTCAAACTAAAAACATTTAATTTTGGAAAATTCTCAGCCATGAACTCTGTTCTTGTTTGTTTGCTTTCTTTCTTTACAAAATTTTATTCCTAAATGTACAACAGACTCCAAGAACACACATCATTCTAGTTATAGGTGTCAGAACATGTTAGAGCAGGGAATCCAGATATCGGAACAGGAATGGAATTCAGGCTCACCATCATCGACGCACAAGGAACAGTTTAATTTTTTGCCGATTTCTTCGTTCCACCTGGGGCCAGGGGCCCTTTCCCACCGCCTTTGTTTTTAGCAAGTTTCGTCTGCTCTTTTTGCTTCTACTTGGAACACTATCTTCCTCATCCGTCTCCTAGGCCTGCTTCTTGGGCTGCTTCAGGGGCTTCTTCTTGCCATCTTCAAGGCTGCACAAGGCCTTGGAATCGAGTTTGGAAGGGTTTCGCTATATGGCTCAGGATGATCTTGAACTCACTATGTAACCAAGGACAGCCTTGAATTTACACTGATCTTTTTGCTTCAGCCACCTGAGTGCTGGATTACAGGTGCGTATCACCATGCCTACCTCAGCCATTCACTTTTTTTTGGCGGGGGGGATTGAACTAAGGCCCTTGCGCTTGCCAGGGAAGCGCTTATTCCACTGAGCCATCTCCCCGGCCCAGTCATTCACTTTTAAAATATTGCTTCTTGTCTATTCCTTGAGCTACATCCCCAGTCTTTTTAATTATTTTTTATTCTGAGACAGGGTTTCACTACATTGCTAAGTGGGCTTGAATTTGTGATACTTCT